GCAAGAGCAGTGCTTCGCAGAATCTACCACTGGATCGGAAACGCGACCCACTGAGAAGATCCGGCGAGAAACTCAGTGGGCTAAACGCGAGTCAAGTAACATAAAAACTATCAGCATGAGCAATTGTTTGAAAATAGAACTAAATAATCCTGTTTTTTAGGTGGTTTACTCATCGAATAGTTTAATTTTAATCGATTATAATTTGAACTCGGCAATATGCAACACTATTCGGAATGTAACCGAATAATCGACAGTATTCGTTATTTTGTTTTAAGCGTTTTTTACTTGTTAACAATATCGAAACTTGAAAGGCGACAGATAGAAGGTCACAGGCAACACAATACCGTCGATAGGTTGCCTAAACAACTATTGCTTTAGAAATCTTATCATTACACGTTTATTTGAACCACGCTCTAGTAGCTTTGTATTATTAAGCGCTTCTAGTCAGGGAACCCGGAGCTGAAATTTGAAAGTATTCATTTGATTTTAATTCTAACAGTTCGATTACAGATAAAAGATTATTTAGAAACATAGTTGTGGACCACTCGGGAATCTATTTTTGTGACATTGTTCATAGCGTAGGTGATGATTACCAAATCAGGTCGAGTTTTCCAGAACATATTTCGTTACATCGATGATATTTCTGTTTTTATTTTTTTATATAACATATTTAAAACATCAATTTGTCAGATATTTATTTTATTTGTCAAATATGAATTTTGTTATTTTCGCAAAGTGTAATGCACAGGACTCTTGGGACCACCCTCGGTTGACTGGTAGAGAATACCTCAAGTATTAAGTCCGCCATTGTAAATTTGTGCATGAAGTTGAATAAATAAATCTTTTTTCAAATGTAGTTGATAAATACATGTACATTAAATATATATTACACAATATCGGTAAATACGTATTACATTGTACATTTTAAATTGGTGATTTGTGATACCTAGACTAGATTTATTAATTGTCATTTTAATGATAATTTACCTAATAACGTAAATCAGGATTTTATTAAGTACTTTTAATAGCTGGCAACCGGCGGACATTGTTGCCGGTCACGCAAGGAGTGCGAATGACAAATACTCCTCCGTTATCACTGGCCGATAAGAGCGTCGGTCCACTCGAGCTCACTTCATAAATAAGCCGTCAATCGGACCGGACCGATAGTCGTATAACACCGTTTGCTTCCACTGAAATTAAAAAAATAATTTCCTAAAATTACCTTTTACCAAGTGACGTGCACAGACTTCTTTACCGATATATCTCAGATTGTTTTTTGTTTTTTTTTTTTTATATTTTTTCATCGCTTAATGATGAGTACGGATCTTCGAGTTTGAAGTGCGATGTGTTTAAATTTTATCGAGAAAATTCTATTTAATACTTCATCGAAATTGTCTGATCGGATTTATTTTTGTGTTTCTTGACGTTGTGTCAAAGGATTATTATGTCGCCGAAACAAAAGCAACACGCCGGCAGTGTAAGTAATATCAAAATGTACCTATATCTAGTAATGGGAAAATCTTTTTTTTCATTTTTTAATAAAATTTCTATTTTGCTATAAATTTTTCGATTTGACTCGACTCACGACTTTTTAAGAGAGCATCAACTAATATTTTATAATAAAAATAAAAATTGATAGGTATTTATAAGTTCGTTAAGTAAAAATCAATAATAATCGAAAGTGTATTGACACGATAACAATGATGAATCACAGCTTGTTCAAGTAGAGAACGTAATTTCAATTTTCAGTGGAATATTTCTTCCGTTTATCTAATAAACTAATCCTTAATAAACTTTTGACAACACGGTTGTCTGATTTGATTTTAATCGAGGTATATTTTTCGTAGCAATATGATATTTAGTGAGAATGTCTGAATCATTAAAACAATTCAATGCTGACTTCTGAGATGCTGTTAGTGTATTTAAGTAGCCTTTTCACTGAAAGTAATCATCAGGAAATACTTTTAGAATAATTTTAGGAGAACATATTGTTTTGGAAAAACCTTTTTTTTTAACTAATATTTGGAACGGTATTAAAGTCGCTTGAAAAGGCGGGAAAGTACTCTAAATTTTGCAATTAGTTACGTTAAATATTATTACAGAGTGTTAATAGTTTTTATTTACTGTCATAATAAAATTTTATCTTCGTAAGCGTCACACTATTTTGTTATTTTTATTTATTCTAAAATTACGTAATACTTCGCGACAGCGACGTAGTGATAGAAATAAAAAAACTTACGAACGAATAAATGAATACATTATGGTCTCATAACATTAAATTTAATGTTACCATTTATGCTCAGGAAAATTTTGTAACAAATCAATTTATTTATGAACAAAATTGATTTGCAGATATAATTTATGTATTACATGTATTTTTAGCGTTCAGTGTGCATTATTTTAATTATGTCTGTAGTTTAATTATTTAAACGTGTGTAGACGGATTTTTTTTGGAACATTTAAAATTTTATTTATTCTTGTTAGGAGTCACTCTGTTATTCCATCTATCTACCTAGAAAGACTTTTCAAGAGCGCGTCCCGACAGGACTCTAGAGCAGATATCAATTTCAGGGATCAATAAAATACACACAGTCATAGTCGTCATTAGATACTCCCATTGCGATTCCATTAATATTAATTTCGGTTAATTGAAGTTGATTGTCAATACCGAATGGTAATTAGTGAGTAATAGTTTAAACCGGCAAATACAACGAGTCCAAGCAACCGGTCTAGCCTAGACTTGTTAGAACTCTATACCTGATCAAAACTGAACTAGACGAGATAAGTGGGATGTTAATTTAAATTCGTGTTAGTTTTATTCATTTTGAAATTCTAGATGCTTAGTATTTCGTATAGACTATCTTACAAAATTAAAGAACGATTACTAAAGTATAATAAAAAAAATTTGAAGGTTCAGTAAATTTTTTCGTATTCTTTTTATTACGCCGCATTATTTTTTGGTACCTACGTAATTTGTATGACAGCCAAAGATAGCAGTTGAACTTCTAATTAAAGAGTTGACGTAATATGCAAATGGGGTAATTCGTAACTTTATTGGCAATAAAAAAAAGTTTGAAAGGTTCTTTTTTTAATTAAATCTCTCAATGTAATTTATCCGTATAAATTCAAGTCAATCATTCTCAACGTCAAAGGGATCCTTATGTCTTTTAATCGTAGCTTACAATTATTTAAACAAATTATCTGTTGGGTTAGTTACTATCAGTAGTTAACATGCAATACTTTTGATAAGTAAGTACACCTGCGTAGATAATGTTAGAAATTTCGAAACTGTAAGAATTGAGATCAAAGCAGTTGCGATTCAAAAATTTACCTACTTTATTATTTTATCTGTGGTTTGACCATGTGTAATCTATATTGAAATATCAATATTTGTTTATTATTGGTAATCCTACTTCTTCTTGTTTGAAGAGTAGGACAGAGGGTATTACATTAAAAAAAATATTCGATCTCATGTCTCAAAGTAGGTGGTAGCATTTACGTCTTGAGGTTTGCTTCGGTAAACACTTAACAGGACACACCGTGAGCTGGTCATATGTAAAAAATAAACAGCAATTTTAGACGAGGCTACTAAATTATAATAACGAAGCTAAATAGATCTCTCAATAAGATATCGTTTCCAAAATTTATTCAAAGTGTTATCGTGCCTTTCTTTTGCAATTCAAATTCATTTGGTCTTTACAATTTGAATACAATAAAATAAAACTAAAAGAAGATAATTGTTTTCGTATTTTGTGAGAATCATTAAGTCCTTGAAACCATGTGAATTAAACGAAAAATTTCGCTGATCTAATTTGAATTCAAGTTATTTATTCTCAACTTAAATGTCATTGAAATATCAACTTTGTTAAATTTTAAATCGTGTTGCCTCTACTCCGTGTTCCAAAAAATAGCTACCGTCCCGAGAAGAACTCGCGAATCAAACTCATCATATCTTTTAAGTGCTATTTTTCTTATAAAGACATCCTGAAAAATTCATATTTAATAATATCACACATGCGATGTCACTTTAAAATAAGTTTTCGTCTCGACAACTTCATTCGACGACTGTCATAGTTAACCACTGCAAGTACAAAAGAACACAAAAAAAACAGTCATTTATATTCTAATTATTAAGAATTGAAACGAACATGACGCAAATAATATTAGTACCTATCAGGGCTGCGGTTTTGAGGATTTTTTCTCCTGTAAATATTATTACTCGCAGCTGTGTTAATGCATGAAAATTTGAGCAAAGTACAACGCCGCTATTTCCTAAATAAGCATGCCTTTAAAATAAATACAAAAAATACATAAAAAGTACTAAATGTAAACTTGATGGTTCTAAATTGGCATCCCAAAATTTATAGATTAAGAAGTACTTTAGGATATCCGGTATATGTGGTACATTTAAAAGTGGTTACTTCTCGAAAACAAACCACCAACATTTTTTTTGCATAACATACTTATTATTTATTCTGAAACCGTAAACGTTCTCCTTTTTTTTGGAGAAATACAGCTAAAATCGTATACTAGGTATATTTAGCTTCAGTGCTTAGCGGCCACGGAGATCACCACAACATATTCACTAAGACAAGGCGCGAACGCAATTAAATACTGTTTTAGAGTTATCCAATACAGTGGAAACCTTATTCGCATGATTTATAGAAAGGCCTTAAAAAATTTAAGCTATGCTAGCCAATCAAATTTTGATTTTCAAGTCAAGATATAAGCTTGTCTGACTTCAATATCTATAAAAACAATAAGGAAAGTTTATTTGTCTTCCCAACTTTGCCTAAATACTATAGTCTCTTTTATTGGTGGTAGGACTTCTTGTGAGTGAGACCTTAGAACTTATATCTCAAGGTGGGTTGCGCATTTACGCTGTAGATGTCTATGGGCTCCAGTGACCACTTAACACCAGGTGGGCTGTGAGTTCGTCCACCCAATTAGCAATAAAAAAAAAGTCTTCAAACTCCTTCTAATTATTGACATTTTTACAGTCACACGCATCGGCTAGTGCTGAACGCCGGGAGCATTTATATAAGATCCTGGTCATCGGCGAATTGGGTACAGGGAAGACTTCCATCATCAAACGATATGTCCACCAGTTCTTCAGTCAACACTATAGAGCAACCATCGGCGTGGATTTCGCACTGAAAGTACTGAATTGGGACTCAAATACTATAATAAGATTGCAGCTATGGGATATAGCAGGTATGTGAAATTATCATATTTGAGAAATACATATGTCTTTTTCGAAATCATTTATTATTTGTAGTATAGAAGAAAATATTTGTGTACATACGTACATCAGATTTTATTATATTTAAATATGATCATATACCGTTCAGAATAAGCTCTACACACTTCTAATATTCTGTATATAAAAACCTTTGATAAATGAGAACTCCTTTCAAAAATTACGTCACGTTATAAATTTAAAGAAACATAAATGGCATTTATCAAAAGTAAGTCAAAAGTTAATGATTTATAAAACGCTTTTTTTTCTATTACGTATCAATGGCGCACGCAGAGGACGAGGCTTCAAAATGTTTTCAATATCTTTTTGCTTTGGCGATGATTGTTTATACATTCGCGTTTTTCACTTTGCTTATTTTGATTCATAATTAAATAAGGTAAATGAATTTTCTCTCTACTCATACATCATCTTACACACCGAAATCATCATTTTATAAAAAAATACAAGAGTACCAATTACGCTTCATAGCTGCCAATCTGTTCCACTAAAGTACGTTATAACTCTGAATATCGCAGGTACTTCGATTATAGTTCACTTTGATATATAGCTAAGTATTCGCCTGGCGCTACGATCTGTTGAAGGACCGTCGGTCTACCGAGCAAATATCATCCGCTCGGTGGAAGATCTTTCCTTTGTCGTTTAAGCCCTCCCAAAAGCATTTAATGACTTCATGGTTGTGGCGATTTCTGTACATTTTCTGTGTTCCAGTTAATTATTTTTCCCGATCTACAACGGTGCTTTTAGGTACCTCAAGCACCGGTCATCGTTCTCGTCGAACCCATCGCTTGCGACGAAGGGCTCGACGAGTAAATTAACCCTCAGACACAGCCCACTGAGTTTCTCGCCGGATCTTCTCAGTGGGTCGCGTTTCCGATCCCGTGGTAGATTCTGCGAAGCACGGCTCTTGCTAGGGTTCGTGTTAGCAACGTCATCAGGTTTGAGCCCCGTGAGCTCACCTAGTAGTTAAGGCAGCGCTGATATATCCTCTCAAGGCTATCAGCTTAGGTAGGAAAAATATATCTGTTGAAATGAAAATAGCTGTGGTCCAATCTCGCATTTCATTCAAAAATCAAACATACAGGAATTATAATCACGTCTTTAATGAAACGAAAATCAACTAGAGCTTAAGAGTGCGCATCAAAATACTGCCATGTTCACCTACATTTCGTCACTATTTGCATAGTGGTTCGGAATATTTGATGAATTTTTTTTTAATCATAAGTAGATTATTGATGCTTTATCATTTAATTATTTTAATGAATGCAATATTTTACGTACAAGTACTGTATTTATATTATTATACAATCTGATCGTTGGTGACATTTATCAAACACATATACATATTATGTATTCAAACACAACAACATTTTAATAAAACAGCAATATAACTACGTATTTTAAAACTAATAATACAAATAAAAGTATCCAGTTTTAACTAGACAAACTGATACATGTTAACCTTTAAAAATAGGTAGATCAGTATGTTTTGCTGCACAATAATGCATTCAGAATAATGCATTTTGATCAAGAAATAAAAATCTCTAAGGTATTTTGTTTCTTATAAGACTACTAGCCGTACTCGCCCGCTTCGCTGCGCATTTAAAATTAACATTATTATTTATTGTCATTATTATTAGGGAGTCTAATATTCGTATAAATATTAGCCTATCCATTAAGTACATGTGTTTTCTATATGGATACCAGGTTTCAAGTCAATCGGATGCATGGTTCAGTAGTTATAACGGAACATCCGTAAAAGCCACTGTAGATTTATATATTAGTATAGATTTTTCGTATTCGATAAAGAATCGATAGCCACAGGAAAGAGATTAGTTTCTGTTAATCCAAACTGCTACCGGTCACTACAATCGCGATTACTACGACCTGTTGTAAACTAGTGTGCGGCATAATTAGGGACTGCAGTATGAATACGGTGGGAGGGTATTATCGGTCACAATTGAAACCATAGGTGTAAAGAATCGGGAATTTTAATCTCATAGTGACATTTACAAATTGCTATCCGACCGCGACGGGGCAACGCAAAGCTGTCGTCGTCCGAAACATGTCTTGTTGGATCCCTCGGATTCACTCTCGGTGCTTTTAGGCCTCTCAAGTACCGGTCAACGTCCTCGTCCACCGTCCACGAGCGAACTAACCCATAGACACAGCCCACTGAGTTTCTCGCCGGATCTTCTCAGTGGGTCGCGATTCCGATTTTGTCCGATTTTGTCGTGATCATCGTTGGGAGAGATGCATTAGTATTTTATTGTCATTCACATTCACAATCATTCATTATTAAAACATCAACAATCACCGAAACATTAATTAAAAATTTTGTTGAAGAACTTGGCCGCTACCAACTTAAATAGTTTTTGGGTATGAATTGGACATTTAGGTGAATACTCTATTTTAACGTGTCCAATAATTCAAAAATGCCTTTATGATTATTGATTTTCCAGGACAAGAGCGCTTCGGGAACATGACGCGTGTTTATTACAAGGAAGCAGTGGGCGCGTTTATAGTATTCGACGTTTCCAGAGTGGCCACGTTCGACGCTGTCGTCAAGTGGAAAAATGACTTGGATGCGAAAGTTCAGTTGCCCGATGGATCGGCCATACCTTGTATACTGCTCGCTAATAAGGTTAGTTACGATTACTACCAAGACGGCTCTGTTATTATGAATAAAGATATTTTGAAAAATGGGAATAATTGTAGTGCTTCCAAGGCTTCAACCACAAATCAAGTTTAGCCTTGATATTGATTATGGGAAATCAAAATCCCGGTTTAATATCGTTTTAAGATTTCTAACAAGCAAAATATATAGTTTTCAAAGCATCTGGTATTGTTTGTTTGACTATTTAATTAAAGACGGTATTAATTAGCCGTGAAAATTTTGAATTTCATTTATAAACTGAACGTCGTTAATCTTTGATAGACTTTGCTGGCGCTTTAGTACCAGATGGAATAAAGTAATCAGCAAAATATAGCTTTGATTTTTTCCCTTACCTTTTTGTATCTGGACTATTCCGACTACGCGCGGATGGGTAAGTGAGCTCACGGGTTCTACCTGAGAGAATTTACTAACACTAGCCCTAGCAAGAGCAGTGCCCTAGCAGAATCTACCGTCGGATCGGAATAGCAATCCCCAAGACCCGTCCAGAAACTCAGTGGGTTAATTAATATAGCTTTGACATCTTCAATGTACACTCCAATTTTGTTAACAGTGCGATCAACAGAAGGAAGGTATAGTCAACAGTCCCGCCAAAATGGACGAGTACTGTCGCGAGAAAGGTTTCGCGGGCTGGTTCGAGACATCCGCCAAAGAGAACATCAATATTGAGGAGGCAGCTCGGTCATTAGTTAATAAGGTAAGTTAAAACGGTTTGGAGCCAGATGGTCTTGTGTGATTTGTGCCCGATCGTAAAAAATTGTGTTCATGGATTATTCCTAATTCTTTAATAAAGAACCAAGAAGTTTAATTAATTTTATTGTTTACATTAGTGGTCGAGTTCACTTTGTGTTGAATAGTTATCCGTGCCCATAAACATCAAAAGCGTAAATTTTGTCTCCCATCTGGAGGCATGAGGTCACAGTTTTTACAGTACAACGCTTGCCCCATCCGTCGAACTGAAACCCATTAGTGCTTCTCGGCTGAAATAGTCAGGGTAGTGGAACCTACCCGTGCTCCCAAGACGTTCTACCACGAGTAAGCTTTTGCCGCGAAGCCATGTTATGGTTTCAAGGGTGTACGGGACGTGTATCAATTCAAATTCAAAATCATTTATTTCAACTTAGATGTCAGCATAATACACTTGTTGAATGTCAAAATATAAATAACAATGCTAACTCTACCACCGGTTCCAAAAAAGCCACAGTCCTGAGAAGAACCGGCGAAACAAACTCAGCGGGCATTTTTCTTTTTGTTTTTTCTCAAATATTTTTTTTTTTTTTTTAAATAAGTAAAAATATTTACAACAAACGAAATAACAAGTCAAAAAATACAATTAAGAAAAAAAAATGAAAAGGCCAGGAGCGAACGCCTCATTTCCACGTAGTGCCATCTAGTAAATAATCCTTAACTTTATAATATGCCTTGTTGCACAAACGTTCCTTGACAGTTTTCTTAAATCTATGAACAGGTAGTAATTGAACGTTTAGTGGGATCTTGTTGAAAAGTTACAGTACACCCAGCCCCCTAAAAGAGTTGCCTATTTTCTTAATTCGAGCCGCCGGCAACGCAATATAATTGAGACTTAGTTATAAACTAATTATAACCGGACCACTTAACACTAGTCATGCCGTGAATTAATCTATCCAACTAGCTCAATAAAATAGTTTTCGAAAAAGCTGAAAGCAATGACAGCTTTTCTATATACGAACAAAAAAAACGGCTTTAAACTAACACTATAATATGGTTACATTATAAAATTTAACATTTAACATTATAATATAGTTCATGTTTAAGAATGATTCTTTTTAAAATTGATAAACTTTACAAGGTCGCTTAGGTAAAATTGTATTTGAATATCGACATTTAAATAAACCTTAGCGGTTTGATGTCGCGTTCATAGTTAATTTAGAACTTGATTGGTTTGTTTTTTTTGGAACGGATGAAACTTACTCTACAAAATAATATGTATACTCTGTTGTAATATCAATCTTTGAAATTATAATATTAGTATCAAACTCGTTTTTATCTCGGGTTTTTTTTTGGAGAGCCTTTTAATTATGTGCGTATATGAAATAGTTGTGCAATACCACGCTGTTGTTATGTTAAGCGAGAGCCAAGGCAATTATTTCTGTGGTAAATTGATTTTAAATGAATCTTATTAAAAAGCAGTTTGGTAATTGAGCAATTATTTTAGTTTTGTTTTATCGTCATTAGAAACCTTATTTAAGGACTTAATAAAAGTAAAAGTTTTAAGTAAATTATCTACAATCATAAGCCATCAAATTTTGATCGTTCATAGTTACGCCCCCTTATCTATTTCCCACCCCTATAGACTTGGGGGGCTGTGCGTGTGGCAACGACTTCTTTGTTACAACTAGCGACCCGCCCTCGCTTCGCTTCGGAAACATTAAATTTAATTATTGATAGGTGAAGCCCGCCATGTTTCGCGCGGTACGACGATAACTGCGGGTGACGCCGCGGGCCGAAGCTATTCTAACAAAAGTAGCCTAAGTTACTCCTTATATTATCAGCTACCTATCAGTGAAAGTCTCGTCAAAATCGGTCCAGCCTTTCCAGAGATTAGCCGGAACAAACAGACAGACAGACATTAATTGTAAAAACATTTATTTTGGTGTATGTACCGTATATAGGTATATTCATATGCATGTAGTAAAAAGCGGTTATTTCAATATTACAAACAGACACTCCAATTTTATTTATATGTATAGATGTTCAGTAAATTATTTTTACGTTTCAGATTCTATTAAACGACAAGCTTCTTCAGAATAATGACACCAGGGACGGTGATAAATTCGTGATTGATCACAAAATAGCTAACGGCGACAGCAGAGATGGCGCGAATAAGGCATGCGGTTGCTGACCAATCTGAGCGCGTCTGCAAACAATGAAGGACCAATCACGTCTGGCCATGATCGAATTGCGAATGTTGATTCTTGTGGAGACGAATCATAATGATTTTTGATGTTTAACAGTTGTTTTTCATTGGATTAAATAATTTTAAGACTTGATACTTGTATTTATTGTCTTTTTTTTTCAATTTCGCACTCGGGATTGCCATAAAGTGTTATAAATGTACAAATATTCTTGTTATAGTTATAATAAAACAACTTCTGGCTTAATTAAATAACAGCGTATTCTTAAAAAAATGGTGTATGATTTGACTGCAACTTCAGGCCACTTTTATTGCATGCATATTAATTACTACATGTTTGCAATATTTAGTGCATTAAAATTTATAAAGTTATTGAATTCAATGATTAATAAAATGCATGACATGTATTTCATTTGTATAATGTATTTGATTTGTATTTTTACGATGTTTTGTTGTTTTCAATTGTTGTTTAGTATCGACTAATTACTATTTCGAATATATCAAACCATATGTTTGTTGTATAATTGTACAGTTCAACAATGTACAGTTAGTTTCCGTAATTTTAATTGATATCTAGTTTTGAGCCTACTCTTATTTTCTTAGAAATATATAATCTATAAATTTAACACTATAAATAAATGATATTTGAACAGACATTTTGTTTTTCTTTCCTTTTGTATTTAAATTACACAATAATCACAGCTTGACATGCACACTAGCTAACGTCGTAGCGATTGCATTTCCTTTGCCAGAAATTCGTAAAAATAAAAAAAATTGTTTTAATTCCAAATTCCAATCAAAACAAATTAAAAATAAATTTTGATTATGTTTTTTCGTTTCGAATTTCATTTTGTGATCACGGAAGTTACAAACATGAGGTGAAATGATGCAGATTAGTTTTGTTCAATGTTGTCTGAAATTCGTAAACAACTTTAAAATTCAGTTAGGTACTTTCAAGATCAAATTGAAATTTAATAAATCACAAAGTAGCAACGAATAAGCCTACTAATTAAAGCTGGCCAAATAGTGTTATATTCGAGTATAGTGATACGGGAATTCTTAATCTCCACTATCACATTAATAAATAAATAAATGTATCTGAAAGTCTGTGCTTTTATCTCAGTCCTTTAGAAAACTTTTTAATCTCAGTCAATCTGGGTAAAGCGGAAATAAGATTACTAAATTTAACTAAACAATGGATTCATGGCACACATATTTTACTTATATAAATAGTATGAAAATAAAATGATTGTTGAAATTCCATACCATCATCTCGTTTTTACCATCGCACCGCCCGCCACCGGAGTAAAGTTCATCCATACTACCTGTAGCCACTCCGGTCATCCACAGTGCGTTTCCAGAGACCTTTTTTGCCACGTACCATCCGGCTTTGGAATGAGCTCTCCTCAACGGTTTCCCAAGCGCTATGACATGTCCTTCTTTAAACGAGACTTGTGTAGAGTATTAAGCGGTAGACGGAGGCCTGGCTCTACCCCTAGCATTGCTGAAGTCCATGGGCGACGGTAACCACTCACCATCAGGTGGCTCGTACTCTCGTCTGCTTACAAGGGCAATAAAATAATAATAATTCCGTACTGTCCAAGATTTCTTGAAAACGTTATTAAGATGGATGCAATTTTTGCTTATTCAGTACTTTTTGGCCATTGGTCAAAAATTCGGGGTAAAGTCTGTACCACTAAGAGAATTTTTAAAATAATATGGTTGATGAAACATGAGGACGTAACCTCTCCTACCACTCGTATAGAAAAGTGAATACCTCGCTACTGACATAGACCGGGCTGTGGTACGTACCCATGAGGGCTCACAATACGCCCAATCACAATTGCGTTGGAAAGTGAATAATTGATTTTATATAACGAACCTATCGCCAATGTAGTGTTAAGTTGTCACTAAAGTACATTTACAATAGAAAGAAATCTAGAATCAATCCAGAACGCATTTTTGCTTTGATCCAAAATCATGCATGAGTCGGGTGAACTTTTAAGACGCCCTATTACTTAAGAAGAGTAATCAAATCAAATCAAATCAAAAAAAAATTATTCAACATAAATGAAAGTACATATGTACTTGTTGAACGTCAAAAAGAACTACCGCCAATTCACAAAAACTAGCCTCCGTCCTGAGAAGAACTGGCAAGAAACTCAGCGGGCATATTGTCTTTTTTTTGTTTTTGGGTTTTTATTATTAGATTAATTTTTTAAATATTAATTTTTACAATGAGTATTATGACGTAACAATTATTGCAATATTGAAATGCCCGGAGCAAGCAACTCATTCCCACTTTGTGCAATCTTCTAGATAATCATTGACTTTATAGTAAGCTTTATTGCACAGATGTTCTTTAATAGTTTTCTTAAACTTATGTATATATAGGTTCTGAACATCTTGTGGGATTTTATTGTACAGGCGCACAGACAAACACCCGAATGAATTTCGGATCTTATGTAACCTACTCATCGGCACAACAAGCTTGTGTTTGTTCCTAGTATTTCTATTATGTATGTCCGACTTTTTAGGAAGCTCCTCAATATGTTTACGAACATACATCAAGTTTTCAAAAATGTACTGGGATGGCATAGTGAGAACTTTAATTTCTTTAAATTTCTCCCTCAGGGATTCCCTTGAGTGCGTATTATAAATAGCACGTATAGCTCTTTTCTGCAGAATAAATATCATTTCTACATCGGCCGCATTGCCCTATGCAAAATGTCATAGGATATGACACTGTGGAAGCAACTACATTAAACTAAACGAGTAGTAAGTAAGTAGTTAAGGATACTGTAATTATGTATACTGTAATGTGAGTAGTTCACAGAGACCAGAACCGAAGATCTTCTTCTTTCTTCTACATTTTGACTTTAGATTTCATGGGAATACATAGACACACATTACAATTCAAAACATCGACGCACGTACGAATACATAAAATATGATAACAATGTAATTATCGTTAATTTGTATGTCTCCTATTTCTCCACCAAACTCCCTATTTCCCATCCATTTAGTTCCATTCCCAAATATTCCTGCGGAGAAGCAGTCTTATATCATTTAATCTTAAGATTCAATTTTATCGTAACTTCTATGACCTCCGGTGGTCGCTTTGATTTAAATAGCTTATATAAATTGGGATGTCAATATAAGAGACGTCAAGAAATTGCAATGGAATCTCATGAATCCACTAAAAATATAGGTACAATCACTCGAAAAAATCACAAAAATATATTAAATTGAGATTGCGCAATATTAAGCAATTCCCGCAACAGTTTCTAAAAAGTCAATCGGCATTTTGTGTGTCTACATTATTCTAAGATTATAATTCCAAAGTCGGACCATGACGGTTTTAAGGCCAAACTAGTTTTTTACGGAGTCACGCTTACCGGGACGGACTGATGTGGTTTATATCTAACGGGTTTTTCAAATCTTTTTATGAGGATTTAATCAACCTACCAGATTTAATGGGTTTCGAATGTTCCCACATGAAGTAACGTTTGTTGGTATTTTATTTTTTATTCGTTTTTATTTTTATTTTTATCATATCCTTTTTGAAGCTTTTAAGCTGGGATTGCACATTGTGACGTCATGTATTCTGGTAACTACTAAACAATAGGTAGATCATAATTTACTTTTCGAATCTACGAATGAGGTAGAAATCGCAATTGGAACAATACAATTGGAAGTAATCCTGGTATTCAAAACGCAATGGCAAATACGTAACAGAAATTGTCAAGATTACGGTGTCTACGTGGGCTACCACAAGTTCAAATGTACACATTTCTGGCATAGGCTTCCGCCCCATATACTACTGGAGAATATCACTCATCATGCAACATTATCAACACATATTCTGATTAAATAAAAAAAATACTGCCATTTATAAAACGACAGAAAGACAGACGGCCTGGGTTTAGTAACTTGTGGTGCCGTGACCCTTGGATAACGAATTAAAAGTTCTTGCAGTGCATTTTACCTAGTACTAGCATGATTGTTGGATCCCCGGATCTCGAATTTCGCTGCTTTTAGGCTCTTCAAGACCGGTCACCGTTCTCGTCGAACGAGCGAACTAATGCGAACGAATCTCTGAGTTTCTCGCCGGATCTCCTCAGTGGGTTGCGATTCCGAACTTTTGGTAGACTTTGCGAAGCACTGCTAGGGCTTGTGATAGCAAATTCTCTCAGGTTGGGCCTGTGAGCTCGCCTACCCGTCCGCGCGAATCTGAAAAGGCCTATCAACGAATAGGTAGAGAAAAAAACTGGCATATGAGCATTTCATGTTGAAATTGATACATGTAGCAAGTCAAAACCCGCATTGCTGGACAATGTTTGCTGACCAAACTTCCCGATGTCACCCGCTGGACCAAGCTAAAGATTTCCTGAAAATTTCACCGAAATCGGCCCCGTCGTTGAGTCGATAGGAGAACATACATATATCGATTTTTTTAAAGATATATAGGCCATAAGAATGATATATGTATTCAACTGTTGCTATTCATTCGCAAAGAGAAAGTACATTTGTGTTTATTTCTTGATTTGACATTTAGATAAGATTAAAAATTAAACAGACATACATAATAAGGTCATACAGGGCTTTGAATGAAGATGCTCGGGTAAAGATAGTTGGCGCCACATCGTATTTGCACTACGGTATCATTATTTGACTGGTTTGCCTAATTTCACAATGTAGTCATTATGAACGATTAGTCTAGTGATATGCCACGAGAATGTTGCTTGTATAATCAGTTGAAGACTTGAGCTATTTCAATGGAGTTGAATAAGGTAAGTTGCATAAAATAAATAATAAAGAAAGTGAAGTTCAAGTACCCTCCTATAGCCCGGTAGATACGTTTCTACAAAGTCCCGTGTTGTGCGAAACCGTGTTATATGAGACTAGAAGCCATTACAAAAAGGAGAGTAATTTTTCAAAATGAAATATCTCAACTACACCTACATAAAGACATACCTATTACTCATAAAAAATAAGCAGTAAAATTTCGGTTATTCCCATATACCTATATTGTGTGTTCATAGTGCACAATGTAATTTACTAAATAATTTTAAACAATAATCTCGATATCGTGTTGTAGAAATACCGTGTTTTAAGAGGGTTTTGGAGAATTTTTCTTTTCTTGTTAAAGTGGAAACGTGTTGTAAAATATCGTGTTATATGTAGAAGGGTTACCTGTATTAGAAAATACTAAGTTCCTTGCAAAAACAGGATTAATAAAAGTGATCAGAGCAGAGAGAGACAATACGCTATTGAACATTGTGGGTTGGTAATTAATTTGTTGGGCAAAAAACTAAAACTCGAGATAGCTTTAGTAGCTTAAATTTCGATTTGAATTCCAAGAAATCTTAAGTAGAATCGAATGACGTCATATCTTTCGAATCATACCACTGCTGTGTTACGGAAATATAAGTTGGAATTCGCAGGAATATTATAAATAGTATTTCCTCCGACCGAAACGCTAGAGTTTTTCATGGCAGACTAATACCCTGCTTATGCTCTAGCACAGATAAACTTATATTATAGAGAAATCAGTGAAAGTTTTAGAAATATCTGGGAAGGCAGTTAGTGATTGAGCAGATAACGCTGAGTAACTAATTCACGGAATGCAAAGCAAATAGTAATA